CCCACCCACCTTTAAAAAAATACCCAGAGATACTGACCGTAGAAAGTCCGGTTACGCATTTGAAGCGTGACGGCTGTGCCGTTGGCAAGAGAGCCGCCCTGCGCCAACGTCTCGTTTACCGCGTGGGCGTAGAGCATGACGCCGTCGTGAAAAGCCCCCGCGATGAAATTTTCCTGGAAAATTGAGAGATTTCCAGGTGGGTAAAGCAGGGGAAAAGGAGGAGGGGGTCAGACCCACTGTATCGAGAGCCAGGTTGAGGGGGGACGGACGGACAACGAGTCGGGCGTGCGAGGGATTCGATTCCAAGATCCATTTACGAGGGCGCGAAAGGAACTTCGCGACGGCAATCCACGGTTTGCGCCGGTCAACCATTTGAAGTTTGTGTGCAAGGAAGTCACAACCCACCCCTTGCCCGCTTCCCTCTTCGCATTCCTCTCGAAAGGGAGGGATCGCTGGGTGGCGTCCTTTCCCCCCGGGATGCGTGGCCGAGCCCAGGGGGAACAAGCCAGCATCGTTTCTTCCACCGATGGTGGTTAATCCACCTGGAGATTCCGAACAAGGTGAGGGAAACCAGGCTGGAAACTGAGGCCCGGGCGCTGGGTTCCGAGTGCGAGGATTGCCCCTTTTCAGCCCCAAATATTTTTAAAATGTGCTTTTACAGCAGCGGGCTGGACTAGAGGACCTCTGGGGCCCTCTTCCAGGTGTATTATTCTACGTTTTGGCGTCGCCTCCTCCTTACCAATCCGTCTTCCACGGTGAAGTTGAACTGCTCCTGGGAGGTTCGCTTGATGTGCTGGAGAAATTGGCGGTATTCCGGATTTTGGGGTTCGGCGTAAGTGAGGAGCATGACAGCCTGTGGGGGAGGGCGGGGTCAAAAAGGAGGCGGGACGAAATGACTTAACCCCCCAATATTGGAGGGAATTTATCTAGCATCCTTAAATCGAGCCCATCATCCTGTTTCAAGACACTTCCGGAGACGGACTACAAGTCCCATCCTCCCTTCCCAGCAAGCCGAGCCAGAGGGAGTTCCGAAACTCCTCCTCCCCCCCCCAAAAAACCCTCTTTGGCACAACCCCCCGATTTTGAATTGATGTCATGCAGCGACTATTTTCAAAGACTCCCCTCTTGTCTCTTCCTCATAACCGTTCCGTGGGCTCAGGTAGACTTCCCCGACCTAGGGAGGCTCGGCGGAGCCGTTTCTGCAGATATAATAATCCATAGAATGGTGGAAAGCGGGGAAATGAAGAGAGATCGTCCGATCCGAGCCCGGCGCCTGGACCAGGAAACCCCTGGCGGTGGTTAATCCTCGACTTATCACCGTTCAGGTAGACTTCACCCACGCAGGGAGGCTCTACCGAGCCGTTTTTTAGCGGACGAGACCCTCCGTGGAATGGTGAAAAGCAGGGGAATCAAGAGATCATCCGATCCAACCCCGCGCCCCTGGGTCAGAAACCCCTCGCGGTGGGTAGTCCTCGAGTTATGAACCGTTCGTTTAGCGACCGAGAGGCAAAACAGGATGGTCGTTTCGAGATGTCCATATTTAAGGCTTTTTGCCCCTGGTGGGATCGCCAACTGGTCTTGTTTCCTTTTTTGGGGTTTTTTTCTGGGCCTTCGTTTAATCGCTCGCAACACAGCCTGATACACTGCGCTTGAGGCTGGAGGTTCTACAGAACGAAGGAACGAGGAAAACCACCAGCATTTTCCCCCCGAAACAGCCTGGTTCCTTTTTAAACTCTTTTTTTTGGGGGGGGGGCTTCTCAAACTACCCCCCCCCCCCCACTCCCCCACCCCAAAATGACTTTTTTTAAGTTTAAAAGAGCAACTTTTTAGCTTAACAGAGAGTTTATTAATAGCGGC